CCGCTCGCGCCGCGTGCAATTGAAAATTGTTGTTGTTGTTTGCTTGTTGCTGTTTTTTGTTGTTTGGTGTTGCTTATTGTTTTTTTGTTGTGGTTTGCTGTTGGTTGTTGGTTGTTTGTTTGTGTTTTTTGTTTGTCTTGGCTGGTGGGTTGATTGTATATATGTATGTATGTATCTATGAATGTATTCGTGTATGCATGGATGTATTTATGTATATTTGTTTGCTTGCTTGTTTGTTTGTTTGTTGTTGCTGCTGCTGCTGCTTGCTTTGCTGTTGTTGCTCGTGATTGCTGTGTTTGGTGCGTCTGTAGTGAGGGTCGATGACAATAGTTGAGGTAATGGCCATAATGGCCCCGAGCCACTGCAACAGACTATCTCGACTCCGACTCGTCAGCCTTGTGCCTGAGTTTCCAGCAGGCAGAAGGATGGGCGAGGCTTTTGAAACACCGCGGCATAACGTGGTGTTTGAACTTCAAGCTTCGCGCTTGTTCGTGGGCACTTATGATTGACCCGTGAAGCGACCTGGGGAAAAGACCAGAAAGGTGTCTTGCAGTGAATGGGTTCGCCTGCATCATCAGGGCAACAATAGGTAAAGGAAGAGGACGAAGAAGTAGTAGTCCATAATAGTAGCAGTAGTACAGTAGTAGTAGTAGCAGCAGCAGCAGGAGTAGTAGTAGTAGTAGTAGTAGTAGTAGTAGTAGTAGTAGTAGTGGCAAGGAGCAGCAGCGCAAACACCAGTAGCTTTAGCAAAAGCAGTGGCAGTGGTGCTCGCGGTAACGGTTGCAGTAGCAGTAGTTGTTGTTGCAGCTGCAGTGGTTGGTGGTTGTGGATGTTAGAAGGAGATTCTGGCCTTTCCGAGAGGCTCGCCTCATAGCAGGGGCGTGGGACGTGCAGCAGGGTCAGGCGCGCTGGGTTGGAAAAACTCTTTGGAATTCAGGGTATGCAGGGCTTAGGGTTTGAGTTTCCAGATCGCCTGCAGATTTTTCAGCGTATAGATCTAGGCGGTCTGGGTTCCGCAACGCGACAGGAAGCGGTTCTGTCGTGCCAAGCCCCCGGAAAATCAACACTCCTTCGCCGCAAATCGCCCGCAAACCGCTTCAAACAACTGGCCGCAGAAGTGAGAGATTTGGCGCATTTTGGATCGTGACAGAGGATCCTTTCTGAGCGCAGCCCCGAAACCCTAAGCCTCCTCGAAGGCCCCTAGCCTCCATTCTTCTGCTGTAGACCATCAGCTGTGACACGTCTGGGCCCTCGGAAGCCAGGCGGCCCTGGAGATGCTGAGGGGCTGGCTCCGGGACCCGCGCCACTTGGACTCGGGGTGGAAAGGGACGAGGGCCGTGATGATTCGAAAAGGCTGTGGGGTGTGTGTGTGTGTGTGTGTCTCTGTGTGTGGTATAACCATAATATAGAGACTAGAAGGGGGTTGTGTCCCTTGTTGTTCAAAGCTTTATTGTCATGGGAAACCCTGCTCTATTGCGTTTTTGTGCAGTCGCAGACTTTGGCTAGCTTTGCGTTGTGGTCAGAGAGCATCAGGATTTGATTGACTGTTTCAATGGGGTGTTTGGTGGGAGCCTTCTTGGAGCTTCAAGACTGAGATCTGGAGCGTTCAGCGCCACGTCAGCACCACCACCATCACAGCAGTTAGAAGGGTTTCGCTCATTGGGTGTGCTGGGATCCTGCAGTGAGGTTCATGGAGTGCCTCAGCCCGAGAAACCCCTAAGTCTAACCCAAAATCCCTTACCCTCAGCCCGCAAATTCCTAAGCCCTCTAATTGCACTACTTACCCAGCCCATTCCGTGAGCTCCCCTCCCCCCGAAAACGCCGCTTCAGGCCCGCCTTTTGTGCTGAAGCAGTTTGCCGCTTTCTTCGCCGTCTGGCAAAAGGAAGCCTTGGAGGAGCCCTGTGGCGCGGAGCCAGCACAAAAGGGGGGGAGTTGTGTAGCTGTGTGTTTGCTTTCGGGGCGCTTTGGGAGTCAGAGTTTTTTGGATACATGGGGAAATGGGGGGGGGGGGGGTTGTAGGGTCTAGGTCCTAGGTCTCTAAGTCGAGGACCAGGCGTCTAAGAGTTCAGGTCTTGAACTTTCTTCAAGAGCAGCGACTGTGCGTTTCATAGCAAAAGCCAACACGCCAAGCAGCGCCTGCAGCATGAAGCCACCATGCTGGCTTGTTTCGACCAGCAGCCATGAGCCCTAAACTGCAGACAGAAGCGAAGAGGGCTTTGGCAAGAGGGTTGTGTCGAAAGGGTAGCCGAAGAGGAAAAGGGGATCACATCCTCGAATCAAAAATGCTGCCGTTGTTAGATGCACTGGCTTCGAACCACGGGAGCCAGGAGCAACTCCGGGTCCCTGTAGATGTGGACGATATCGTCGGCACGCCGCGGTGTTGCAAGCAGCGAAAGAGAGAGACGTGGGGCCAAAAAAAGGGCCTAAGGACCAAGCTGTCGGGGAGTTCAGAGTTCTGGAGCCTTGAGATCCAGAAAGCCCCCGAGCCCCAAACCTTCGCAAGCCATTGTCCCCTGACCCTAGGCATGTGTCAGAGCTGCTGATCGTGGCTTCGGGCCCTCTTTGGGAGGAGCGGGGCACGTCGCCGGTAGCGGTGTAGGGGTGCTAGTAGTGGTGGTGGTAGTAGTAAGTAGTAGCAGCAGTAGTAGCAGCAGTAGCAGCAATTGCAGTAATTACCTTTGTCTGCAAACACGCTACTGAAGGAGATTTAGGTCTGGGCGGCATTCGTGCGCACATCCTGTCTCTGACAGATTGTCAACGCTTTTTGGGTTTGTCGGGTCATGGGATCCTGCAGAAATTTGGCGATGGATGCTTGCTGGAGCTGGACGAAGGATAAGTTGCCTGCACAAAAACAGACACCTTTCGATATGCTTGTCCTCAGGGCGGTTGATCACCATTCCCGTGTCAGGAGCGATGCCTTCGGGACCAGGCCGGGGATTACCGGTAGTTCTGACTCTGTCAGGGCCTTCAACCCCGAATTCCACACTAAACACGCCACACCGCCGACAAAACCAAGTAAGAGTGATACTCGAAGCCCCTAATCGCTGCTCCAAGCCTCCCACCTTGGAAGATCTGTACCTAAACTCCAGGCCCTGGATCCTAAAGCCTGGGCAGCAGCCGGGAATCCCGAAGTTGGAAAAGCGCAGTCAGCAATTTTAGCTGGAAGCGTTTCGGAACTTGAACCGGTGGAAGCCCCATGGAACTCCGGTGACTTCTGGTAGAATGCACCTGCCCGCAACCTATTCTCATCATTTGGAGCCTGAGACAGAAATCAGATGCTGTGAACTTTCCGGCTCTGCGCCAGACGCCAGCGTTTTCCGATGTCAGGCCTTGGAGGTGATCCTGGAGCACTGCAAGGTGCTCCAGCCAGAGCCACGCCGGGAGGCGGCAATTCCCCAAGCCTTGAGCCTTGAATCCATACTTTTTGGGGCACGGACAAAGAGCCCGAGCAAGGGGGCCTGGGGTTTCGACAGCTCCCGGTGTTCGATGCTCTGTCTCTGGATTCTGGTTCCGTTCCTTGGCCCTGGGACTGCGAACGATTTCAATCGCCGAGACCCAACCCCCGAACCCCCAAACCCCAACCCCCAGATCCTCAACATGCATAACAAAGAAACATCAACATAATCGAACGCTTCTGTCCTACGAATGTCACATGGCTTCCGTAACACCGGCTGTCGTGCTTGAAAGGCTATGAAGCATGCCATACTAGAGCTGTGCAATAGTATCCCTCGCAGCCATCGCGACAAGATGTTACTCCGACCACCCAAAGAACGGAATGCGAACCCATGAGGATATCACCTCGAAGGATTTGTCACAGCTCTAGTCATTCGATTGCTGTTGCAGCTTCCTTTTGCAATCTCCTTTGTGATCAACGTGCTACACGAATTGCAGCGGCACGCAAGCGAGTCCATGACGATGCGCAGCGACCGCCACGCACGGCCGCACTGCAGAAACGCTGCGCGAATAAACTCGACTTCAGACATGGTTTCAGTGTTCTGGCACTCGCGTGTTCAGACTCGGTGGTTCCCGCCGTGATCAAACCCATTCCCTCGTAAACCGGAGGTACACAAAAAGCAGGAGTGTGCAACAGAAGAATCTTTTGGTTTGAAGTTAGTTACGCTCCTTTTTGGAAGGCCTTTGCCTCGGTGCTCCTCCGGCTCGGCCGCAGTGCCGGGACGCAGGCCGTTGCCGAGGCGGCAGTGCCACGGCCAGATTTGAAGTTGAGGGTTTCGAAGAGGATGCCAGAGCTCAGGATCGTAGGATTAGGTCTTTGGGCGAAGTGTTTGAAAACGGACGCTGCGTTGGGGTTTGGGGTAGCTTGGAGATGACTTTGATGCAAGAACTCGGGACGCAACTTTGTGGCTTCTTCTATTCGACACAAAAGTTTCTGGGTTGATGTCTTCGTTGGAAGCTGGGCTGCTTCATCCACATGTAACTGCAATGTGGGTAGGTCTTTTGCAACGTGTACGGCGTGTACGGTTTCAAAGGTTGGCAATGAAGCTACGTTCTGCTTGTGATTCCTGACGTATCGATGCCCTTTGTAGTAGTTGGGCGGTCGCACAGTACCGAGAACCCCATCATCCCGTAGTCAAGGGTCCGCATTTTGGGGAATTCCCAGCTGGGGCTCTGAGAGCCTCCCAGTTGCGGGGATTCTGCAGCTTCCGTGGAACACCTGAGGTCGCTCTGAGCTGCCGCGCGGAGGCCACTCCCCTCGCGGAGGCCTTCGCAGCCTTTCGCGGCCCATGGTTTTAGGGCCGGGTGCCATCTCTCGACCTGCCCAGGTTCAAGCAAAAAGCCCGAATCAGGGACTGCGGAGTACTTGCGAAGGGAAGGGTGGCTTCCTGATCGACCGACGGTGACGTCGAAGTTCGTGGCTCCCGATCGGTAGCATCCGAGCTGAGACGTAGATCGATTCGGGCACGGAGGTGCTCAGAGGGAAGGTCTCACTGCGCAGCGCTTTAGAGCACGCTTCTTCAAGGGTTCCACATGGCTCCAGAGAAGTTCTATGAGGGCTCCATGGAACTTACCAGGTGCCGGCTACAGTGTCGACAGGATTGCCCACAGTCCCTGTTGGAGCATGACGCCCTCTGCCCTAAACCCAAGACCCTGAAAGCTTTGAACCCTGAGCCCTAAAGGGCCTAAAGGCCAAACTCCGAATCCCCCTGCAACACGACACTCTGCAGGTCCTCAAGAGAGGTTTGGCGGCTTTCTGGGCCCGCTTCCCCGAGGAGGCGGGGGTTCGGGGTTCCGGATTTGTGTTGTCGACGTTTTGGGTCTAGTGCCTTAGAATTAAGGGTTCCAGCTGTCGGATTTTTGGGTCAAGGCTTTGGAGCACGGCCAATAAATATACTGGAGGCGTTCCCCTTGTGCCTGTGACAGTATGATCCGTGATGAAACAATGTCACATCTGGTGCTGCGTCGAGTCATGCAGGCTCTGTTCCTGCACAGCGGTTGAGTCAGGGTTGAATCCAGACGCCCCGACAGAGCACAACACACCTAAGAATATACCGTATCTGTCCTAAAAGCCCTGAACCTGACCGGCTCCCCTCTCTACGCGGGACAGAGCTTGTGAGGTCTTCTCTGCCATTGCCTTCTTGGTGCGCACGGCTCTGCGGATCGACGACGCCTCTGCTGCGGAGGTTGCACCTCTGGGGCGTTTCGGAAGACAACAAGAGGAAGAGGAAGAAGCAACAGTCGGATCCATTGTCAGATTGGTCAGAACTTGCAGGGCTACTGCCATGCACAAGAAACCAGCGGGAATGCTTCACTTACCGGAATATACTAGCACCTATAGAGATCCTGACTCAACTTTGACGGTAAGATACAGTAAGGCACGCAGTTGAAGTGAATTGACCCCAAAGCCTGGTTCGAAGGCTCCGAAGTTTCCTTACACTTGGCGCTTGAGGATCCATAGGGAGACGTCGGTCCTACTTGTATGTAGGGGAAGAACGCCGAAGAGTCAGGGCTTTGGGCTTCAGGGTTGCGCCCCGGATGTTTCGGGTGCTGTCACCTTCTTTTCGCCTCTTTGCTTGCGGCAGCTTCGTGCTGGTGCGAGGCCTTCGTGGATTCAGCACCGGGCGTCCGGGAGGAAGCTGATGTCGAGGCCCGGATGTCCAGATGTCTTTTGCGCTGTCCTGGGGCCTCCGAGCTTCGTGTCGATTGCGCGAGGTGCCGAAAACGCCGAGCCTTATATCTCAAACCCCCAAGCCCGCTACGCTATACTCGTAGTGGAGCCGAAGTCCCAAACCCTAAGCCGGAGTTGGTTTTCATATCGGTCCTACCTACATCATCGCATCGGCATTATTACAAAGACCCCACCACCCCTGACTTGGAGGCTTCCCCAAAAATACCTGCAGAAGCTAGGGCAGGGGTCTAGACTAAGATGTGGAAACTCCTACATGGGGCGGATTTCTTTTTAGATTTTTGAAGGCCCCAAAAAAAAGGCACGTCCCAGAGAGATGAAGTTTTGGGGATCCTCGAGAGAGGACCTGGGCTTCGTCGTCCTGTGCCTCCTCGTCTTCTGGCTCGTGGCCAGAGACTCCTCGACCCAGGATGACACGGTGGCCTCCTCAATAAGCAGGGCCTGTCTTTTATTCGGAGGCCCCTTTCCGCTTCGAGGCCTTGACAGGAGTTTCTTTCTATCATTTTAGGGTGTCGGGTTTGGTGTGAACTCGGTTCTCAAGCCGCAGGGTTCTGAAGTGCGACAGGCGACTAGGGTTGAACATGAGCTTAGAAAGCGGCAAAGGCCATAAAGCCTTATGGTTTAGGGTTTAACCATAGGGCTTTATGGCCTAGGGTTAACCCTAAACCATAAGGTTTTATCGCCTAGGGTTTAGGGTTTGAAGCCCAATAACCCTAAACCATTAAACCCTTGGATTTACAGGTATTGTAGGGTTATAGGGTTTTGGTGTTTATAGGGTTTAGGGTTTAAAACCCTATAAGCCTACAATACCTTCAAATCCAAGGGTTTAATGGTTTAGGGTTATTGGGTTTCTAACCCTAAACCCTACGCAGCTAGGG